ACATCTTGTTCTGTCTGTTTAAAAGGAAAAGCTTTCCAACGCACAAACATGGACATCCCTTAGAATATGAAACTTCTGCTAATCATACTTTCTGACTCCCAAATAAGGGGCAGTCCTTATAATAGGGGGCATCTGGCAACCTTAGCAGTTCACAGAAAAATAAATAGGATGCATAGGAAAATATGTTGGAAAACTTCTACAGCTGGTGATATTGTTATTTTTGAATGAAAATGTTAAGCATTGAGCATAAATATGTGGATCTCCATATTCTAATGAAGCAAACTAATTCCATTATCTTTTATGGCAGGATTCTGTGCGAGCTGTTTTGATTGAAGGTTTTGCATCTGCGGTTACAGTAGACTCATTAGCAGAATGATAGATTCAAACATCAGTTTCAAGCATATTGCTTCTATTCAAGAAGAAAAACAGGCAGCACAGATTTTCTTCTTCAACATGGTTGAGTTTCTTTTCATAGAAACTCTCCTCCTCACCAACATGTAGTTGTTTGAATTTTGTATATTTCAATTCTTCAATCATATGGTCATAATTAACATTTTGTCTAAACTATTTCAAACAAGGTTTGCACTTTGTCATGCATTAAAACAATAATTTTTAGCCTTCAGTAAAAAGACACTGTGAAGAGTCTTTAGATTACTGTAATGTGCTCTACGTGGGGTTTCCTTTGAAGACTGTTCAGAAGCTCCAACTGGTCCAGCAAGCGGCAGCCAGGTTGCTCACTGGAGCAGTGCTCAGGGAGCATACAACTCCCCTGTTGCATCAGCTCCACTGGCTGTCAGTCTGCTACCGAGAACAATTCAAAGTGCTGGCTTTAGCCTATAAAGCCCTAAATGGTGCCAGCCTAGGCTTCCTGTCCAAACATATATTCCCCTACAAACCAGCTCGGAGACTAAGATCATCTGGGGAGGCCCTGCTCTTGGTCCTGCCTGCCTTACATGTACGGCTGGTGAAGATGAGAGACAGGTTCCCTTGCCCCCATAGGCTTGAACCACTGCTGAGCCAAATGTACATCTTAAAAAACCCCAGAGCTCAGGTTTTTGAGATTTCATATCTTTTAAGAGGTTTCATCTTTTTGACTCATGCAGAGCAGCTGATTGCTTACTTTGTACTCTCTGACATCTAAGAAAGAATCATAGATATGTGTACAACGGGTTATAGAAATCAGTTTGTTAATACATCTAAATTAATCCGAACCATGTTATTTGAAAAGCAGCAGGTTTCACTCTTTGTGAATCACAAGAAAGAAAGGAAAGGGAATATTACATTCTGAATGTACATTTGCCTACATTACACAGCCATCTAGCAGTCAGAGGAGATATGAGAGGTAACTTACTCTCAGGAGGACCAAATTCTTGGTGCATGAGTGCTTTGAAGATTAAAGCATAAACACATTAACAGAAGTCCAGCTTTATCTCTGGTGATCAGTCTCATGCTGTGAAAAAAGTGTTTAAAGTAATAGAAACAGCTGCAATCAAAACAAACTGGAGACTGATGTGGAGAAAGCAAACATATAGTGCAATCAGCATGTTACTATACATTGCCATAGGACTTTATTTTTTATCATGGAACCAACTGGTGCTGTCTAGACAACTTTGACTGATAATTTATTCCTCACAATAAATATGAGATGGACACTTAAAGAAAGATTAATCAGCAAGCCATGATTCCTTTGGAGGTCAGCATCACTCAAATGTTATATGTAATTTTAGAATAGCATGTGAAACCACTTGGAAATTCAGGGAAGACTAGCAAAGAGTGACTTATAGTGGAAGATGAATGGACATCAGGGTTGGATCTAAAGTACTCTGTCTACATTAGTTTTTTTCCTCAGTGATTCGTACCCAATGCGAAGTTCAGCAGACATCAAGAGATATTTTTACATGCTTGTTTTTAATGGGCTGGATCCAACAAGGTGCTTTTAATGTAAGATATGGCTGCCATGGTGTGAATGTGTGTGACCCCCTTCTCTTTCTGCAGTCTTCTGTGCATTTATTTGAACCAAATATTTATTGCTTGTTAGCTTATTTTGAGTGTTAGAAGGTGACTCTGGAGACCAGGGTTCAATTCCTCACTCAGCTGTGGAAAATCACTGGGTCACTTTGGGTAAGTCAAATGCAATCAGCCCCAGAAAACTCCCTGATAGGTGTGCTTTAGAGTTGCCATAGGTTTGGAACAGTTTGAAGGCACACAACAACAACAGGTTGCTCCTCAGCTGCCCTCATGTCTCCTGAAAACTTGGTCTAGATAACTGGAAAGCCTTCTAGGAAAGATTTTTTAGCTTTTCAGAGAGGTTTGGGGGAGGGAAAACACAGTGTTGGATTCAGGCCAAGATGTTTTAAGATCACCAATGTTTAATTCCCCCCCCCCCCCCCGGCTCTTGTTTTAGCATGGCTGTTTTTATTTTGTTTTTTCCTCCTTACTACCATGCCATGGTTTAAATCTGTTTGATTTCTTGGTGTCAGTGTTTTATGATTTTAATTTTGCAAACCACTCAGAGAAATACGTTGAATGGCTATGCCAAAAATAAGTATATGAATAAATAATCAAACAGAAAGATTCAGACACCTAGTCTCACTTTAAAGAAAGAAGAAAGAGAAGAAATCCAGTTGAAGAAACTGCAATGGGAAAAACAGGGACTACAGTACCTAATTACTTTTTCACTCATGTTAGTTCCGAGATAGTGACTTTATTTTCAATGTGTGACCAAATCCTTGATCATTATCTGGGGTGAATTAAGTTTGTTAAGTTGTAATAATATTTTTAAAAAATGGAAACTGGGGTTTTTTTTGGAGCCCAGTTCTAAAATCTGGACCCTGTTATGGTCCCAATGACAATACTGTGATACCGGTTGGGTCCTCCTTATGATCCCACCTACCTGTCCATTGGCAATAGTGCCTTTGGGCAAAGAATCCAGGAACACATAATCTTCAAAAAGACATGGGTGCCCAGGGAAATGATTTATGGGAAGGTCTCTGCCACCTGGTACCCTATCATCCCAACACTGAAGGTACCAGGGAGAGAGGAGCCCCTGGTGGTGCAATAGGTTAAACCCTTGTGCTGGCATGACTGCTGACTGAAAGATTGGTGATTTGAATCTGGGGAGCAGGGTTAGCTTCTGTCTGTCAGCTCCAGCTTCTCATGCGGGACATGAGAGGAGCCTCCCACAGGATGGTAGAACATCTGGGCACCCCCTGGACAATGTCCTTGTAAATGGCCAATTCTATCACATCAGAAGCAACTTGCAGTTTCTCAAGTCATTCCTGATACACACACAGGGAGAGAAAAAAGGCACTTGCAAACTGAGACAGAAGACAATGGAGTGGTATGACTCATTCTTCCCTGGTGATCTGGGTGAGTATTTCAAGCTGAACAAGGTTCTGCTCTGAATTGAGTGAATATGGTCTTTGGTGGCATCACTGATGGAGGCCATGTCCACAAGTGCTTCAGTAACAAAGAAGCATGTCTGCATACCCAAGCTTCTCACTTCAAACACAGGTCCACATAGTCACTTGGAGGAAATACAACAGCAAAAAATCTTTTCAGTGAGTGGGATAGGCTGGTTCTCTAAAGGACTTTTGATGATGATATACAATATAATGCGAGAGTCAATAGAAGAATATTCATTCTCTGCATTATATTGTATTATATCATCAAAAGTCCTTTAGAGAACCGGCCTACCAATGCTATTCTGGGTGGATTTCATACTTCTTAGGGGCCAAATGTCTATCACCTGGCGAACTGAGGACCTGTGGTAAATGAGAGTGCAAATTTGAAGAACACAAATAATGTAAACAGGCAAATTTGGGGAATAGAATAAGGAATACATTTTCATAGTACTCCTGTGAAAGTGGAAAAACTGCTAATAAAACCCTACTTTTTCTACCTGAGAGGCACTTCTCTTGGAATCTGGAGGTTCTCCAGGGCAATTCTATGGTCAACTTCTTCACATTGATGAGATCCTGTGTCTGCCTTAAGGATGGATAATATCTGTTGCCATAACCTATTGGCCCTGTAGTGGTGTTGCAAAATGATTACAATTACACTGGTTCCTCCCTCCCTGTCTTCCTCCCTCATTCCCTTTCTTCCTTCTCCACTTCCTTTCTTTTTTCTTTCCTTCCCCCTCCCTTTTCCTCTTTCTCCCTCCTTGTCTTCCTCCCTCGTTCCCTTTCTTCTCCCTCCATAGCAGGGTTTCCTTGATTTTTTTAAAAAAAGTAATGTGAAGAGGCAGGAGAAAAGGATCCTCATGGGCAACGATGGAGGGAAAACTGAAGACGGAAACACGTGTGATGGGAATACAGAACTTGAAACGAGATGTTTGGGGATCAAAACGTACAATTCCCTTTGCTAGACAAATGGTCTTCCACACTTCTCAAGATCCATGAGATGAGGTCCTTATTCTAACAGAAGCCTCTTTTGGATTTCAGTGAACTTCAGAGGAAGAACACTAGTTGCATACCTCAGAATATGCAGTGCCCAAAAAGGAAGGGAATTGCAAGGTTGTTTAATCCAGGTTCCTCTGTTGACAAGTCCACTTATTTCATCTCTCCTGTTTGCTTTCTACCAATATGTTCCCTCATATCTGGTCCAGCATATTTGCAAATTGTATACCCTTGTGTATGGTCCAGTAAAAATAAATCTTAGGTAAATTCCCATGATATTCAATTTACTTATTATTTTGATTAGAAAATCAAAGTGCAATTTCTTTGGGCGGCTTCTATGTCTAGTGAATATTCCTTGCCCATAGTTACTTCTTTCCATTATGTTCCACACATCTGACAGAATAAGTTACAGAGTACATTTTGCATTGTATCATTGTTTATCGTATAATTAAGAAAGATTGAGAACATTCAGTTGGCTGCCTGTTGCCATTTTACTACAAAGCTTTTTGTGTGTGCTGTGCATTTTAATACTGCATGTATGTTTTATATGTAATTATGGAGACTGGAAATATGCTGAACTCGATCATTTGTTTCTTGTTTCAGCTATGCAAAGATGAATAATGAACTTAGAAGCCCCAAGTAAGTGAATAACTTCCCAGGCTGTATGCTGATTTCTTTCAGCATATGATGTGCTAATATATTCAAAGAGTCTTAATGAGCTTCTAATCCATCATGATGTTGTTACAGCATAATGAGAATTTGTTTTTATATTAATATTCATCCAAATTTGCTATTGAGGTTGTTGGTGCTGGAATCCAGGAGTGTGTTTTGAACAGATTAAACAACCAGAACAACACTGGGAGTGTCCTAAAGATGCATTTCCTTACTTGTCCAATGATTTGTCAAATGCAAGGCTTTAACATTTCCAGGGAATCAAGGATGATGGTGAATTATGCTAAGCTTTACTAAGGGTCACTGACTGAGCACTGACTGCTTCCTGCATTATTTACACCTAGAAGTTCAACAACGGATTAGTGCACTCAGGGTTCACTGCACAACCTCCAAAAATTAGCACCTGTGTGTACATGTGATAGTACAGCATGTTTCAAAATGATAGATGAAATTTCATAATGAGATCATGTTATAAGTATTCAAGAAATTGCAAATGGTTTAATTAGTTATTTATTTAACGTTTTTGAGCTGGAAACAAATCTTTAAAATAGCTTCTCAAATGGAGAATATCTCATTAGGCCTTATCTTGTGGGGTTACCATGTTGTGAATGACTGTGGCTAGGGGCCACTTGTGTGCTGGGAAGGGTAATCTAGCAATAATCATTTGAAACTCTATGCCCCATCCTTTCAAATTGTAAGGGTGTTTTCATGGGCAGTTCATGATTACAGATCGATAGCGATTTCAAAGCAGGTCTCTCTTTTTGAAGCATCCTGTATTTCATTAAACACATAGCAGTAACATTTTGCAGTGCTGAAGCAAATGAAGCTAGCTGTCTGCAGGAGATTCATTCTATTTCATGGGAGAGTTGGCATTTGATTATTCATCTTAGATTAGTTCAAGGGCTATAGAGATTTTTAAAGCTCCCTTTTTCCTTATGCTACAACATTCTTATCAACGCATTCATAAGAACATTAAAAAGCCCTGTTGGATCTGCCCAGTGTCATATTGCCAAAAGGAGCCAGTGTGGTGCACGAGAGGAAGCCCATTAATAAAACATGGAGGGCAATAGGGATAATTGGCCTTTTTTAGAATCAGACTTCTACTGATCCTGGAGGCAATATTACAGCCAACATGGTGACTAGCTCATCCTCCATGGATTTCTTGTGGCCTTTTCAAACCATCCCAGATGGTGACCATCACCATATCTTGCTATAAAGAATTTTATATGTCATATAAATACATCTGGCATCCTGGATGCAGAACTGGGCCCACATGGTGGCCAGATGGTGACTAACACAGCCTCCTTGGTGGGGGAGAAAGTCCTGACTGCCCCACCACACCAAACACAGTTTGGCACTTCTAGATAGCCACCCTAGGTATCTCTCCCTCCCCCACACTCCCAGTTAATGGTTGTCCCCAGCTATGACACCCCCACATGCCTTGCTCAGGATGATCTCAGTGAGCATCCCCATCTCCAGCATGGGCACTCAAGGTGATGTCAGCTAGAGTGCCAAAGAGCAAGGCAGGTGGGGATTGAAGCTGGGGACAGCCATGATGGATGGGAGGGGGTGATGGGACTGCCATCCTTGGATCACCTGAGCCTGGGGAATGTGGAATGGCAGTTGCAACTGGTTTCAGTTAGGTCTTGTTAGCACTAAAGTCAAGTTATAGCCCAAATCCTGCATCAGGATTCAGCCAGATCTACCCCATGCTGTGTTCAGCCACTATGAGACTAATCTAAGTACACACTGACTCAAATGGTCAGTGTAGATGAGTCCTTAGTTGAAAATTTGCTATTGTTGGAAGACCCTAGATTCCAGCACTGTAGTCCAAAACTGTTTGTAGATACAACATTGCCCACAGTGTATAACTTCAGTAGTTATGTTTTCCAGTTATTTTGGAAAAGTCAAGTATCAATGAGTGCACCTACATGGCAGAATAAATGCAGTTCGACACCATTTTAACTGCCATGGCTCGATTCTATGCAATTATGGGAGTTGTAGTTTGGTGAGACACTCTTTGGCAGAAAAAGATAAGATCTTGTCAAACTATAACTCTTATGAGTCCATAGCATGGTAGTTAAAGTAGTGTCAAACTGCATTAATTCTACTATGTTGGTGCACCCAATATATCTGTTGATGATAGTTTCTCTCTTTGTGTGAACAAGTTTGTTTCTTTCTAGTTATTTCTGTGTTGCATCAGGAAATGAATAAACTGTTAAAAAGAACTACAACCCAGCTGCCATATTTTTATTTTTACGCATATTTCTCAACTCCACTTTTGTGGTACTTCCAAACCTAAGATAGATTACTTGTATCTCTAGTGGTTTTACTGATATCAATAGAAACAATTCAGCATAAAGAATCTACCCACAAAGCACTAATGATAACAGTATGTTCACATGGATTCAAGGGGCCCTTTTAAAATGTAAACTTGGTTTTCTCTGAATAAAAAATATGTGTTTAATTATACTGCTGCAAGGGAGAGGAAAGGGAAGGGTCTCTTGAGATTAACCTAGGTGTATGATCTTTCCAAAGGCACATTCCCTCAATCAGCCCTGGTAAAACAACGGGCTATTCATAGATTTTGCAGTAACATTCAAATAAATCACCAGGTTAAGCAGTGAAGGAGAATATGTGATTTATTCAAGAATCAGCTTTAAAAATAATATTTCTAGGGGCTGAAAAATGCTGTTGGTTTTCCATGATTTTTAGAAGCTCCCAGAAGAAAATGATGTAGGCACTCTGAACTGAAAGCATGAGAGACAAGGACCCAGATATGAAATTGGAATGTGAATTCGTAGGGGAGGAAACAAGAAGTTGAATGTCTGGATGAATATTTTATTTTAAAGACAAAAATCACAGGATTTGTTTTTCTGTTCTAAGTCCACACTTAATCCTGGCATCAGAAAAAGAAATAACTGTTTATTCAGTCCACCTAAGAAATTTAGAAAAATGTTATCTGGAAAATTAACAAAATTCAAAGCCTCTCACGAAACTGATCTTAAAATATATTTGCATAGCATGTTCTTTCTGACTTCTTATTCAGACTCACTTTTTGTATCCTATTTCAAGTTTTGATCATAAAATTAAACTGGACATACTGTTAAGTCATACAATGAGATTTAATTTAAATTGTAAACCTTGAAGTAGAAATCTTCTTCCTGTTGCTGCTGCTGAAAAAAATCTTTAAAAACTCAGCACAAAGAGAACTTGCAGTTTGGAATTTCTGGGCAACATTCACATGTGGGGTTTGGCAGAGAAAATTATGTTTTCTGCATGCATTCCAGAAAAGTGTGAATTTTTCACAGAATAAGTACTGAACTGTAAAGATTTGCATCAATCCGGGATTCCCTTTGTCAGTTTTTCACAACAATTAAGAAATACTGTTCAATGCCTAGAAAATAGATCATTATGTTTGGTACTTTTCCCATCATATAATTGCCAAACGTTGCTACGTACACATCATTGTGCTCTAAACAACAGCTCTAAACATTGCAAATATCAAAGGAAATGGTAGGTAACATCAGTATGAAACATTTTTAAGCAAAAAGGGGGTGATTGAAGGAGATTTTTATCTCCCTATGTTTAGAACTTGCCAAAGGAAGGCTTTTCCAAGTTGCAATCCATAGGATTAATTAATACTTCTTTTCATGCATTATTGCACATTCACATATACACACACATCCCTGAAGAACTGGGAAAGTTACAACTGTTGCTTTAATAACTTTGAAACACCTGAATTTAGCAGCTGGCCTGTCTTTCTTACTATGGCTTCAGGACCCCAAATAGAGCAGAAGGTAAAGACACAAGCTGCTGTTTATTGAATCAGTTTAGGCACATGCTAAAGAAATTTGGGCAATGCTGTAGAGTTTCAGCAAAACTCCAAAGTAGTCATGCACATTGGACAGAGTGTGGACAGCATGAGGGACTTTGACACAGACCAGTCCACTTTCCACATGGGCTAGCACAGCCATTTCTGTTTCTCTGCACTTGTCACTGCAGGTAAAGGGGGAAGGATTAGGCCCTGTCATCTTTGCTGCTATAGATGGCTGCACAGCTCTGTGAGAGCTCCTGGCTGATGTGAGCACTCTGTTCTGGCATCGGCTGATGGCCCAGAATGACCAGGAGGTCTCCTGAAGCTCCACAACCATCCAGCAGTTATGATGGCAACAGGGAAAGAAAGATGACTGTCTAGTCAGGCCAAATAAATTTTGACCCATCTGGTTCATGTAGGGTTGTGCACAGAGTGTATAGATACTTCCGAGGCACTGGATTGGCCCCAGTATACCTGGTTAGTAGAGATGAGCCCTTAGATTTAAGTGTGCTTCATCAAATGCAGATCAGAACTAGACTTAAGCCTATGAAACTTATGCTGTCAACTTCTCTCTCTTGGGTCCTATCAAGAGTGCTGCAAGATCCCATTGTATATTGATCCATGTCTTATGTCTTTAAAGAGAACCTACTGCTGTGTTTGGAGCAGCAGTTAGTAACTATAAAGGTCTTATATTTGCTGGCAACATTCCTTAGGCAAAGTGACAGTGATAACTAGGACTCTTGGTGATGCTGCTGACAGAAGCCTTTTTCAAGCCAATTCCCTAAATTCCACCTGAGAGTGGGTTCCAGAATATTAAAATTAGAACAGTTATCCTTTCTCCTTTTCGGTTTGGTGCCATCAAACTACACTGATCAATTCCCAATGAATCTCATAACTGAAGGACTATACAATGTCTGCCAAGAAGTCCAGTTTTCTTTTCAAAAGTTCACTCAAGAAATATATTGAAATTCAATATGTTGTTTTTTATGTTACTGTGTATTATATGAATGAACAAAATTGCACTCTTCTTTTTGTTTTTTAAGAGGTAGAGTGGAAAAAGAAATGAAAAACATGCAGTTTGGACTATAGTGTCTACACTTGCTTGGGTGACATGCTGATTAATTTTATATGTAGGTTTCCAGATGTTGGAATTCTATCCCAGTTTTAAAGTATCTCTAGCATTTAAAAGGATATTCATGGAGTGTAGCCTTTAACAAAGTTTTCTTTCACAAATATAGGCTCTCCTTGCAAAACACAATCCAGAGAAACAATTTGCACCAAGGAGCTGAGTGAACAGGAATTCCAAGAGAGAAAAGAAGAAAGAAATCCATAGAAGACAAAGGAAGCTAAATTTTGGCTGTATTTGCTTAGGAAGATTATGGATAGGCACCAAGTGTTATATTTATACTCTGTGAGCACAGTCCTCTTGCTGCTTATTTGGACTGGCACCTCAGAAGCTCAGAAGGATTGCACAGGTGTGGAGTGTAAGCAGCTAGAAAATTGCATTGAAGAAGTGCTTGAACCGGATGAATGCTGTGCCTCCTGTCTACAGCATGGATGCACCTGTGAGGGCTACCAGTACTATGACTGTGTCAATGTAGGTTTTGTCAATGGCAAAGTCCCTGAAGGGCAGTCTTATTTTGTTGATTTTGGAAGTACTGAATGCTCATGTCCCAAAGGGGGAGGCAAGATCAGCTGCCAATTTATGCTATGCCCAGATCTACCACCCAACTGCATTGATGCTGTGCTACCAGCAGATGGGTGCCCCCAGTGTGGAAGGATAGGCTGTGTCCATGAAGATCAGAAATATGCTGCAGGGCACACCTTCCATATGCCACCCTGCAAGGTATGCCATTGTCCCAATGCAGGAGGGGAACTCATGTGCTATGAGCTTCCAGACTGTAATGAATCCCACAAGCCATCTGATCCTGGAGATGCTGAAGCAGAGAAGCACTATGATGATCCTTACAGTTATGATCAGGAGGCACTGGAGGGAGACACAACTCAGGTAGAGCCCCCAAAAAAGTACTACAGTTACTCAGCACAGACAGAACAGGAGAGCCTTGGCCAAGAACAAAGTGAGGATTATGACTATCTTGCAAACAGTGTTACTCCATCTTTGACAACCTATTCATCTTCATACCCAATTGCTGTTTCACTCACAAGCACAAATGTTCCCACCGCGCGCTATCTTGAAACTAGCCACACAACTGAAAAAAGGGAAGAAAGACATATGAGTACAGTGCCAACACCCAACAGACAGCAGAGCCATCATAAAATCACCACTGCCAAGAACATTTCAAAAGGGAAAAAAGCTGCATTTACTACTGAGATGCCCAGAAATATGGCAGGAGAGAGGAAGAACCTGGCCCACCGGGAGAGGAATGAGCAAGAAGAGAATGCTCGATTTAGAATCAAACTGAATATGAAAAAAGATAACAAACAGAAGGAGAACAAATTGTTCATCATAAAAGAGGCCAACAGTACTCAGTCACATGGGCTAAACACTTTGCAGGAGAAAAGAGATGATTTCCCACAAGTCAAATTTAATCCAACATCACCATCTCTTATTGCATTGAAAGAAGACAACAACCAGATATCACAAAAACAGCCTCAGACACTTTATCATTACCAGCCGGATGAAGATGTGGATCCCAATTCTGTTTATACTCCATCCAGGTTGCCAGAAGGTAGGATGTGGACAAGCTCCCATAAAGCTAACTAATTCTAAAAAAATAAATAGCATGGCATCTTGGTTTTACAGTAATTATTTTCTATATTGTACAGTATTTCTCAAAATTATCTTTAGAAGTTAATTCTATATACAATTGAAATTGTAAAGATAATTTTTGGACATCCTGTATTATATCTAATGTGATTGTGCTCTTAATTGACTCATTTAATAGCAACTATAAAATTTTGAGTGTCTTCTGAATTGCATGTTGTGGTCTTGGTGAGTGGCTATAAGATCTATAGTAGTATTTCAGAATGATTTAACAGCTTCAGCATAGGTAAATAATTTTCTTTTTAAAAAGAATTGAATAGTTTTGCATGAATAATAATTTAATTCTGTAAAATATACATGTTTAAATTATTTTCTGGTGTCCTTTCATTAATTCATAGATTGCTTTTACCATGGTTGTTTGTTGTTATGCATCTGAAAAACAATTTGCAAATGGGGGAAAATCTAAGATAGAAATTTAGTAATATTCTGTAAGTGCAGAGCTGATGCCTGCAGTTTCCCAAGCATACAGATGCTGAGTTGTTATTTCTGCTCCACAGTCACACAAGGTGGAGGATTCTTCTAGGTAGTGCCATTTAGCCAGGTTGTCTTTTGATCTGCCAACTCCACTTCTGAGTCTGTTCAGGCATATGATAGAGTTGCATTGAAGGATCTGGAGATTCCTAGAGACATACCTTCTCTAGGAATCCCTGCATCCTCAAGTGCACCTGTATGGCATGCTGGGATAGGAAGCAAGCAATTTAATTGTATTCGGTCATACATGTGGTTTCAGGTAATAGCAGTCCAGCTGTGGGTGGCTTAATGTCTTATAAATCATTATAAATACTAGAATTATAGAGTTATAAATACTAGAGAAAATGTTACATTATGAATTTTTATTAAAAATTTAAGTGCTGCTAACATAGTTGACAAGTGATTATATTTATAAACAAATTTCCAGTTTATAAATATAATTAGTAAATAACAGCTCATTAAAAGCAGTTAAGTCTGGAACACAAAACTTATTGTACATTGTGGTACATGACCATAGAATCCAACACAGTTGACTTATGAACAGCATCAGACGATAATTCTTTGTTGTAGAAGCTTTTGAGGACCCAGCAATTAATATGGAGCCAATTTTCACATATTTTGTTTTTGCATGTAAAAGCAGATAAATTCAGCCACTGTCTGTGAGGATTTCTGTGACATGTCAGACTACTATTTGTATTATGATACTCTTTCTGGGGGGAAAAAACCCAAAATGCATGTGCTATTTCAATACAGGAAACATGTGCATGTACACTGAGTGAGTAACTCACTAAGGTAAATTGCCACAGGTAACTACTCAATCTGTTTGAACAAAGTTCACCCAAACACTGAAAACTATAGCCCATAGGTTGTTGACGGATTCGTTATGGATGTTTGCCTTTGGATTGTTTGGTTGGTTGGGAAGCCCATAATGCCATGGGCTCCACCGCCATTTTTTTACTGGCCAAAACATAGCAGTGGCTGTCAAAAACTGGCTGCTTTTGGTTACACAGAGAGTGCAGGGAGGGAGGCAGCTGCTATAGGGAAAAGCATGAGAGCAAAAAGGCACCACTCCAGCACCTCCAAATCAAGAGAGGGCTTTTAAAAGGAAGCCCAGAGTAGGATACCTCCAGGTTAATCCCTCTTCTTTCCCTGGGAAATAGGAAGCGTCCTTAAAATGCCTTTGAAAACTGCCTGCTACAGGGAGAGAGTGTACGCACCTGTACCTCCTGTCTCCTCTAGAGTAGAAACAGCTTTAACAAAGCATTAAACCCAATCCCTTCTACAAACAGAAGAGAAAGGATCACAGGAAGAGTGGCATCTTAATTTTGATGCTTTTAATCCAGGTCTTAATGAAGAATATAAGGGCAAACATGATACCTAAAATGATGGAAAGGGGAGCCTGTGGGAAGTCCCTCCCCCCATTTGCCACTAATGGGCTGGATAGAAAATGAATCTTTTGACTTCCTGGATCGAAAATGGATTTCTGTCCTTCTGAATTCGGAGGGCTCTTGAAAGATGGATTGGGACCCCCATTGAAATCCAGGACACTGAAACAGATTGCTGTTTACCTGGATTAAACAAGCCTAATAGCCCACACATGCCAAACACAAGGCCTGCAGTCCAAATCCGGCCTGCCATGTCATTTTATGTGGCCTATGGAATTTTCAATGCAAGGGCAACATAGTTACATTCATATAGTCTTACAATTACAAATGGCTCTTTGAAGGCAACCAAAAGGGTGAAATCGCCCTTGATGATAATGAATTTTACATCCCAACTATATCCCTATGCAGACATTATCTAAAATAATGTCTGCATCAACAGATCAAGAAGTTAAGCCCACCCGTTTCTATCGCCAGTTCCAAAGAGCAGACCCGTAGCCAGGATTTCGATTCAGGGGGGGCTGAGTTTTTTTCAGGGGGGGTTTCGGGGAGGGGCTGAGTTTCAAGGGCGGCTGAGTCTGAGTGAAAGAGGGTCTACCCTAGCAAACCTTTTGTATCATTACCCCAATACCCCCATGCATATGGGATATATTGAGTATGGTGATCAGATCATGATATAAATAAACATAACAGTTTAAATAATGCACCAGTAAGGCCTTTTCGCAAACCACCATGAGAATTTGGGGGGGGGGGGCTGAAGCCCCTCAAGCCCCCCCTCCCCCCCAGCTACATGCCTGCCAAAGAATGATAAGTCTGACTAGAGACCTCATCATATGAGGAAATGCCAGCATTCTAGGACACTTCCGGAGCCTGACCCTGCCTATCATACGATGTAGCCTCACTTACAGAGGGGTTCTCTGTCTTAACTGGGGCAGCTGTATCCTACCATCCCGCACCACCAACACAGGAGCCTCCTCATGTTCAATTAGAAACAACGTGCCTACTGTGAGGGGAAGCCACACAGACAGCTGCCAGTGAGTCCGGGTGCAGGGCACCAGGATTACTCTGCTGCTCCCTGATTGACCATGGAGATTAACAAATAGAACCAGAGGACCTCATCAATGTGATGAGGTCCCAAGAGAGCTTTCATATATGTTTATGCTCAGCTAGGTACTCTGACTCCATTTGATTCCTCATTGCATAGAGAATGTCCATGCAAAAGGGATGCTTTTCTATCCAGACTTGTCACTTTTGATTGCAGAATTGAAGATAGCCAGGAATAGGGCTTCCCACAATATTCTTCCTGTGTTAATTGGATATGTTTAGATAATGTCTGAAAAGTACTTATATATTTTGGAACAGTTTAGAGATCTGAAAAAAAAGAGGAAGAAACGGTCCATGAATGATAACCTTTGTGCCTTTCTCATTAAAGTTATGAAAGTGAAGGCCCTTGATTCAGATTGGGGACCAATTCTCATTAATTTTTCAGCAGACTTAATGTCACCTTTATGATATCCATATACTTCGGTAAGCTCATAATCTTGTTTATTTGTGCTCATGCTTCATAATGTTCAGGAAACAGTGATTATTTGTGGGCTTGACTTTGGTTGGGTTTGTTCGTGATAACAATAAGCCATAAAGCGGCCCTTTCCTGTTCTCACTCCGATAAGAACTGAGATCAAATTGTCATGGCTATTGCCCAAAACAAGCTATGTTCATGATTTAAAGATTAGAACGCCTGCCTCTCCCTTTCCTGCCAATCTCAGAGACCCTGTACTTGAGTTTCTCATTTGTTTAGTTGCCAGGACTGATTTAATCAGCCATGATTGCCATCTTAATCAGACAGAGACTGTATGTGTTCAAATGATGGTAAAATAATATCCTGAACTAGGTCAAATATCTCAGTGCCAAAAGATAACACATATTCATTTGAACTATAAATGGGCTGCGTTCCTGACTGGTGAATATTACAGTTGGGAAGCTGCCATTACATGATCTATTGGAAAGTATGCACCCAGACTAAGAAAGGTAACGATGTGTGTGTGTGTTTTGAAAGCTGTCTGCAGTCCTGACAATCTCTGGGTGGATGAAGAAAGCGAATTCCCTAGTGTTCTCTGGAATATATGTACAGAAAGGGATGATTATGTGTTGTCTTTTAGGGAACAGCCTTGGGCAACATGTCCCCAGTAGGCCTTGCCCCATGCTTTGCCACATCCACAAAAGGCTGTTGATTCCTTCACCTTCAACATCTAAACTGAATCCACAGCCCAGCTAAGTAGGAACATGGAAGACAAGTGGAAGGCACTCTTGTCAATGCTTGCATGCATGAGGAAACATAACTTAGGATACATTCATTTAATTGACAACATATTAGAGCTAAAGGGAATTCCCTGCTTCCAATTTAATAAATATTAATTTTATTGGGATTCACACTCTATCTCTAATGTTATTAATGTCAAGGGGGAGGCAGCCTAATGAAAAGGTGGAAGAGGAATCTCATGATCAAGTTGTATTTTGCTTCATTTTGTTTCACTCCTCTTCTCATAGTTGAGGATGGGGACAGTAAAAAGAAAGGTCTCAGTGGGCACTTCCCAGTTGTGCCCGATCATGCAGGGAGGACAGAAGGGCAATTTACTCACATTGCTTTTTAGAAGCCTCCTGGTAACACCGGCAAAGAGGAGGAAAAGCAATCTGTTGCTTTACTGCTGAATAGGAGAGATGAAAAAGGAACACAGAGAGTTTCTTTATTTTAAAAAGAATTCTTTTAGTCTGAGGAGAAATGCCATATTGAGAGCATAGTTTGAGGCTTGGACTATGGACCTCTTCACACAGCTCATGGGGCCATGTTGTTGTGCTGGCAGCTACAGGTGAAAGGAAAGGTTTATAGGGTGCCTCGTGGCGCCCTGCACACTCTCCCTCCTTCTACCATCATATGGTGGGGATGGGACAGGGCACCAATGCCCCATCAGATGGGAGAAAGGGAGGCAACACATGGCAGTGGCCATTGCCCCACCACCTTTCCCCCCATCATATGGGGAAATGGGGAAAAGAG